TGTAAAATTTGTTAAAATATATTGGACTCGGAAAGATTAATAACATGAGATGTGGTGGAACAAATTATAATGGACTATGAAATTGAAGTAAATGCACTATTATTAATGATACTAGGGCAATTATAAAAGTAATTTATAGATATAATTTTCTTTATTTATTAACAATTACGAACAATTGATGGTTATTGCTAGTAACGACTGATAACACTAACTTGCGATTTCATTGAAACCAGATAAAAAACAATTAAGTATTGCTGGAAGTGAAACAATCTTAGTATTTAATCTTCTAAATTTTTTGATGGAAATAGTGAACAGAACATTGAATTTGTATCATAATGACACTTATTTCGATGTGAACGTCATATGAATAAGATGGAAAGCAAATGCTGCATAGTTTTGTTTCTCCATGGATGAATATGAAAAATAAAATATGCCATGGAAGGTATTAAAATTGACTCAACAAGTAAATACGAGATTTGCATTTTCTGCAATTTTCTGTATTTTGATATAAATATACATAATAATTACGATTTATATATCAAATAAAATGTAATAAGAATTTCTATGCCTGAAGATCTTTAGAATTTTGATTGTCTTGTTGTTCATAAGTCATACAGATTCAGATGCGAGAATGTACAAAGAAATTTGATTCACATTTATTATAGGAATGGCAACAATATGATTGTTCTGATGTGTCAGACTATTTGAAACATCTTTTACATATAATCTTGCCAAGCTCTCAACCCAGTGAAAGACATTCATGAGGTTTCGTGAATTAATAGTTTTCGAATAAATTGAGAAGCACTGTCCTTAATTTAATTATATTGACCATATATAGAATTTATGGCGAGTGTTCATTTTGAATAATTATTACTCATTCAAAATATTTAGTATAATTTTGAAAACATTTGGATACTAACAAGATTAAGGTATAGTCATCGCATTACAGATTATTTATTCTTGTGGATCAATACCACATGTTAAATAAAATGTTAACTTTAGTTTACTCGAAGCAGGAATTGTGACACATCCAATGATGTTGATGTATTTTGAAAAAAGTGACACCACAATAAACAGTATCTTAAAGACATTTGACCTTCGATCACCTCCATACATAATCAATCAGGAGGATGGAAACATGGCTGTAAAATATAATTTATTGAGAAACAAAGATATTTTAACACTACTTACAGAAATAATTCAAAGTAGTAAAGATTGATTCGTTGAATTCGATTGTGAGGAAGAAAAAAAATTTGAACTTTCACCTGACTTACATGATCTCTGGTTCAAGTTTATATCAATCTTTACCGAATTATTTGTATAATTACTTATACAATTATCATAATTTGTATAATTAATATATAAATTGAGACATGTCATGGAAAATAAATATAAATAAAAGTAAGATTTAATGAGATCGATTCGTATTCACTCCACGATATTTGAAATTCATATCAAGAAGTTAGATTGATTTTTGCAACTATTAAGATATTCTAGTAGAATAATTTATTCCTAATGCAATAAATTACATTTAACTGATTTTAAAGATTAAAAAGTAAGATTTAATAGTATTTTATTAGATTTTAATCTATAATTTAATTAACAATAACTGAAGACTACCAACACTCAAATACAACAATGCAGACAAATAACTATATCCTTATAATGATAATAAGTATATCAAGGTAATTTTTCTCACAATTATATAATATATTCTCTTCTTACTACTATATTATGCATATGCAAATTTAACGTCGTGTAAGATTTATTTTTTACTGTGCTAGATACTGCTCATTTGCACATTTGGTAATATACTATGTTCCTTTTTTTTATTAGATATGATAAAAACGAAAATACTTGATCGATATTTTCTGGTTCGCTATTCCTTTCTATGCTCTAATTTTAAATTTATATTTCACCCTGGTATGCTTTTTATGCCGTTGCGTGTATTATGTAAACTGTAATCGAATATTTTATTTTTCATCTCCGTGTCTTACACTTGGACGTGCACCCATTATTAACTTCCCGAAGGAGAAGTTTATGTTTTCATCAAAAAACCCGATTCGCTAATTTTATGTTTTCTCGACGTTTCAAGCCATTCTGAATCGAATGAGACCAAATTTGGAAAAAGTATGTGTGTGTGTGTGTGTGTGTGTGTGTGTGTGTGTGTGTGTGTGTGTATGTGAACAGATTTTTTGTCGTAAATCGACGTTTTCTCGAAAACGGCTGGGTCGATTTCAAAAATTTAAAAGCCATTCGATGTATCTCGACGAGAACTATTGTTTGTCAGTTTTGTGCGACGATCGGCCAAGCCGTTTCTTTATAAATGGCAGAAAAGTGAAAAATTTTTCGTCTACGTTTTAGCCCGCAATTCTGAATCGATTTTGAAAATTCAAAAACCGTTCGAAAGATATTGGTTGGGAATCGTGCTGATTAGTTTTTGGTAGAGATCGGCCGGGCCGTTTTCTTGTAATAAAGTTTTTAAAAAAAAAATTTCGACGATTTTTATGATTATTTTTTTGACGATAGATACCATAGTCTTCTAGATCATACTAAAATATTACGGCCCTACGACAACTGGTTCAGCTTTAAAAATTCGTCAAAGTTTGCAAAAATCAGTATGGTCTTTTTGGCATTTGTCAAAATTAGACTTTTGATCGACGTTTTCTCAAAAACGCCTAAACCGATTTTAGAAATTTAAAAGCCATTTGATGTATTTCGGTGAGGACTATCGTTTGTCAGTTTTGTGCAACGATCTGCCAAGCCGTTTCTTTGTAATTTGAAAAAAACTTTTCGTCCACATTTAAGCTCATCCTACCGAACGATTTTAAAAAATCAAAAACTGTTCGAAAGATATTAGTTGGGAATGATACTGATTAATTTTAGGTGAAAATCTACCGAGCCGTTTTCTTGTAATTAACTGTTGAAAAAAAGTGTTAAATTTTCGTCGACATTTAAGCTCATCCTACCGAACCGATTTTAAAATATCAAAAACTGTTCGAAAGATATTAGTTGGGAATGGTACTGATTAATTTTAGGTGAAAATCTACCGAGCCGTTTTCTTGTAATTAACTGTTGAAAAAAAGTGTTAAATTTTCGTCGACATTTAAGCTCATCCTACCGAACCGATTTTAAAATATCAAAAACTGTTCGAAAGATATTAGTTGGGAATGATACTGATTAATTTTAGGTGAAAATCTACCGAGCCGTTTTCTTGTAATTAACTGTTGAAAAAAAGTGTTAAATTTTCGTCGACATTTAAGCTCATCCTACCGAACCGATTTTAAAATATCAAAAACTGTTCGAAAGATATTAGTTGGGAATGATACTGATTAATTTTAGGTGAAAATCTACCGAGCCGTTTTCTTGTAATTAACTGTTGAAAAAAAGTGTTAAATTTTCGTCGACATTTAAGCTCATCCTACCGAACCGATTTTAAAATATCGAAAACTGTTCGAAAGATATTAGTTGGGAATGATACTGATTAATTTTAGGTGAAAATCCACCGAGCCGTTTTCTTGTAATTAACTGTTGAAAAAAAGTGTTAAATTTTCGTCGACATTTAAGCTCATCCTACCGAACCGATTTTAAAATATCAAAAACTGTTCGAAAGATATTAGTTGGGAATGGTACTGATTAATTTTAGGTGAAAATCTACCGAGCCGTTTTCTTGTAATTAACTGTTGAAAAAAAAATTTAAGCCGATTTTCATGGAAATTTTTTTGGCGATATACATCATGGTCTTATAGAACTTACTGTAATATTACGGCCTAACGACAAGTAGTTTAATTTTAAAAATTCGTCAAAGTTTGCTAAAATTATTATCGTTTTTTTAAAGTAGGATTAATGAAGTATATTATTTACCCATTTTTTTGATTAAGTCGATTATTTACACATTTCGGGAAGTTCATGTAACTTGCCTCAAGGCTAAATACCAAACCAACTAGTTTTAAATTTGCATACTTTGGATTTAGGCTTTGATATCTTTCTAGGCTTTTTCACTAGTTTACAAACAAATTTCATTAAAAAGCGACAAGGATACACCTTTAAAATGAATAAAAATGTTGTCCCTGGAACATTCACAGAATTTCTTGTATAAGCTTTATATTCAATCTAAGGAGCTTCCTCTTCGCCAATTGGATCTTCCAATAGCTAATAAAAGCGAAAGGCTCTTCATCAATTTTTTCATAAAGAACATATCTATTTAAAACATGATCGGAACCAAGAAAAACTCTATAAGCAGTAGATAAACCACAGTTGTCATTAACTGCACAATTAGAAGAAGGTGAATTACGAGATGATAAATTATTTATAATCGATGTTCCAAAGGAGGATATGGAAGATTAAGAATTTTGATTCTTATTACATCCACCTTGCCTTGTTATGCTACCAAAAAAGTTTTTTAGGGGATCTTGATTGAAGTGTTAATTATTTGCCTTCAGCGATGGAGGTAATTTTAGTATTTCAAAACACAACAAGTTTTACAGAATATAGATATTATTATACAGAAATGCATTAAAGACTAGCTGTAAGTGGAATTCTGTCTTAAGGCAATTAAGGCATCGTACTGCTTGAACTGCATAGAGACGAAATGTCAAAGCGCGCAAGTGCCGCGCCGCCGTCTAACGCATCCCAGTAAACATGCGATATGGCCACAACATCGTGGCAATATTTTATTTAGGTCGTGTGACATGCGGTTCCCATATTCATTTTCCTCGATATTTAATGGATACGGCCGCAAATTTATGTAACTATCGAACAACTATCGAGGTTCGGTCTCTGGCGCACGTGGCGTTCGTGATACATGAAAATCGACGTTGACCCACATATGTTTGTTTATTATGATAAGACCGTCTGACGTAAGGCGTTAACCCCAGTCATGACGTCATTGGCGAATGAAAACGATTCGGTCATGACGTCATACAAAATGGCGACTCAGTTATGACGTAATAGCACCTGAAAGTGATGACGTAATGCAATTAATATTCTTTTCTGTACGAATAAGCATTTATTTACGTGAATAATAAGAAATTTTACAATATTTAAATATTACAAATTAGAATTGTAGTTTTAAAATTATAAAATTTTAACATGAACTATACTAGAAAACTTTGTACAAATTATTCAATCTTAACATATTAATAACAGTATATTTAATGAAAATTGTTGTATATCTAATGAACGTAATTCTATTTTTGGGGCGTGAAGTGTGAAGTGTTGCATAAGTATTCTATCGCCACTTCCTTATACATCAAACAGCCTGCCTATTTTTCATTTTTTCATTCTATCGCCAGTTCATTGCATCAAATGCCAGGATACAGATTATGCACATATGACATACTGCCCCAAATTTTGGAAGTTTTCTAAAACAAATTCAAACATAATGTGATTTACTGTATATAATGTAATATATATATATACATACAGCTACCATATGTGTAGCTACCTACATGTTCAGTGTACAAATCTCCATCATCTTAAAGTCGCTTTTACACATACATTTTTAACACTGACTGATTTCATTCTATCGCCAGTTCGATACATCAAATGCGAGGATACAGGATATTCATATATGATGTACTTCTTGGAAGTTTTCTAAAACAATTTGAAACATAATGTGTTTTATTGAATCTAATAATATATATACCACTCCATATGTGTAGCAACTTACATATTCAGGAGACAAATCTAAATCGTCTTCGAGTCGCTTTTGCACATACATTTTTTTTAACCTGATTGAATTCATTCTATCTCCAGTTTATTATACATCAATTGCTAGGGTACATCAAGTTCATGCATATATGACATACTGTTCCCAATTTTAGAGGTTTTCTAAAACAATTATAAATATAATGTATTTGTTACCAAATAATATATATACAGCAACTATATATGAATCAACTTACATATTAAGAAGATAAATCTCCATCATCTTCAAGTTGCTCCTACACATACATTATTTAAGCCTGTCTAAAGATCTGTATATTGTTCACCGTTTCATTCCAATTTTGTACGACTTCTGAAATAAATATGAACATGGCATACGTGTTTGCAGTTTATATATATTTTTATAGTTATTATATTTATAGTGACTTACATATTCAGACAATCATCCTCGAGCCACTTCTCCACCGACTAATTTAAGAGATTTAAGAAGTGAGGTTATGTCAAACACATGGATATGTTAATGTCCTAATGTGGTAAAATAATTATTTTAACCTTGCTAAACGATCCTTATTATTGTCCTCAGATTTTGTAATATATGCTATTTGGTCACCTCCTTTGTCATCTAAAGAAATCGACATAAAATAACGTTTCTTCATCCCAGGATATAATGCACTAAATGGAATTCAAAATCGTGAAGTAATTACATATCTATATAAATAATATATGATATACTTACGGTGTCATTTTTCTACACTTTTCTACAATTATCACTATGAACAAGTTGCTTAACTAAACGAATGTAATTATTATACAAAAGAAAATATAACTTGATACATGAGAAATTCCTGACATATTGCGCCATTTTGTATGCGGTTAGTTTAGCTTTCGTCAAAGGAACAGTCAAACCGCTTGAGTCGGTTCAGCCAGTGGCCACGGCGCGCTGATGTAAAGCTTTCTTTGTATGGTCACACACACCAGCACACAACGCACACAACGCAGCGCACGACGCGTTTGCTTCACGCCGTGTGACGTCATTGATTATGCTTTGCATGTGTGCTAACACACACCAGCGCACAACATGTATCTCACATGAAATGCAACGATGTCATTACCCCCGACAGCGCGTGTTTATGTCACTCAATGCGAGCTTTGCGTGTATTGTAACACACACAAGCGCACGCAAGTTTAAAATCCTCTTGTGGCGTAGATTCGATAACTGCATTATAATAACGATGTCGATATTATAGAAGATCACATCGCGTGTTTACTGGGATAAGCATTGGTACGGAACCCATAGAAATGTAAAAAAAAATATACTTATTGTTAAAATCTCTATAAAATATCTGATAATTTGATAAGCATATGTCTAATGATCATTTTTAACCGCCGAATGGCATTTTTTTTACTTTTTTATTAGATCTCCCAAACCGCTAGACCTGCCTTCATGAAAATTTGATCAATTCTTTATCTTGTCAATACAAGTCAAATGTTTTTTGAATTATTCAAATCGGACGTTCCGTTCTCTTAAAAACTGAGTTACCGTTTTTGTCACTTTTTGCCCCATATCTTCGGAACGGCTAGACCTGCCTTCGCCAAAAACTAATCAGCACGTCTCCCTATCAATACGAATCGAAGATTTTTTGAATTATTCTAATTGCTTCATCCGTGTTCCCGAAATCGTCGACGAAAATTTGTATCCGCACACACATACATACACGCACACACACACACACATACACACACACACACACATACATACATCCATTTTTTCAGAAATATTCAGAAACCTCTGAAACGTAAAGATATATAAAAATTTTCATTTTCGATTTTTTTGCGATTACTATAACTTACCCTACGGGAAGTTAATAATTATAAGGTGTTGTGTTACTTTTCGAGTCCAGAGAGAGAATGTGAGCTTGTCATAAACATAGAGGTCCTGTGACCTGCCGGAAATATAGAATGTAGAGTGGAATGTAGAGTAGAGGTAGTCGGCGTATAACACACCTTCCCCCTTCAGGAGATTATAGTTCCTTACCAAATTTAGACATTTTTACAATAAATTTTGAACTATAATCGAAAAACATAATATAGAAACAAAGTAGTACATAGTAAAAGAAAAGAACAATTTCACAAAGAACATAAAAACGACACATAGAAAAATGGAAATCAATAATATGTTAATACAATGAAATGATCAAGAAAATGATATTTATGAATTAAAACAACTCTTAAGACTAAATATTCCAAAATCAATGCTTAAAACTAGTACAATGTAGAAAGTGAAAATTACTATAAAATCAATCATTAACAATAGAAACGAGAAAGAAAATAGAATTAAAATTAGCACATATAAGAATAGAAAATAATATACAATTTAAATAGAATTATAATCATTGCATAAAAGGTTTTATCCTATTTACATGAACTTTCAAAGATTTCTTTCCACAAAGCAGAGTATAATTAACAAACGAGGAAAGAAGATATTTTTGTTATGAAAAACTGAAAGTTTGTTATATAATTATAAAAATGAGAACCAATATAATATTAATTAAATTCAGTGTGAGTTAGGAAATGGGTAAACATAGGTTTCATGGATACTGAAATATTATTGAAAATAGAATTGACACAAAATTATATAAACGTAGAATATTATTTGTAGAAAAAAGTGAAATTATTATTACTTTAATTAATTTCTTAAAAAGAACAATTTAATGTTTTGATATTTATACTAAAATAGAATAATAAAAATATGAAAAATTGTTCATACATTGAAATAATAATTTTTATTGCCCTCGAGTGGATAATCTCTTCAATAGAAATTCAGTCGATAGCTTAGACTTGATAAAATGAAAATTGTAATAATCAATTTCACAAAAATTTAGAATATAACAATTGAGCTTTAAAATTTAGTAAAATGTCAAGTTAATAATGAAAATTAAATTTTATGAAGTGGAAATTATGGATATAAGGTTCATCGAAGGGATCTCGATACAAAATAGTAAGGAATTGGTTCTCGAAGCAAAAGGTTGGAAAAATGGAAGGATTTAAATAAACGAATAGAATTTCTTAAAAGATCGAAGGAAATTAAATATAACTTTAAAAATTTGAAAATTAAAATTTTAATGAATAATTTTCTAGAAATTTATTGATGGACAAAACGGAATGTTGGTAAACATAAATTTAGTAGAGAATTTCAAAAGAAACTCATATTTGACTAAAACATTTTTTAATTTTATTTTAGATTTTTTGCCAAAATAGAGGACGTAATTGTTTATTAAAAGTTTAGAAATTAACGAATTATAAAGGGATAATGGTAGTAAAATTTGAATTTTTATAAATAAATTATAGCATATATAATATTAAAATTAAAGTTTGATAGCTTTGGAATTATTTTAGGAATAAATTTTAAATATGAATTGGACATATATGAAATTGATAGATGTCTAAAATATGATCTTGATCTATTAGGCTTTGGCAGGGCTCTGTTATGATTTTATAAATAACAGAATATTGAAAATATTAAAATTTAAGTTTGGTAGCTTTGGAATTATTTTAGGAATAAATTTTAAATATGAATTGGACATAAATGAAATTGGTAGATGTCTAAAATATGATCTTGATCTATTAGGCTTTGGCAGGGCTCTGTTATGATTTAGTAAAGTCGGTATAGAATTTCGTAATTGTATGGAATTGGAAATTGGAACTTGTTTAGGATTTGGTATAATTATTTTTGTAGGATTGTGTAGAATTAGTGTTTGATTTGTTAAAATTTGTTTAAAATTTGGTATAATTATAATTATTTGTGTAGGATGGTGTAGAATTTGTATTGAATTTGGTAAAATTGAATTTGATTTATTAAAATTTATTTGGGATTTGGAATTATTATTTGTGTAGGATTTGGTGTAGAAACTTGTGTAGAATTTGGTATAGTTGCTTGTATTGGATTTGGTATAGTTACTTGTGAAGGATTTGGAATAGTTACTTGTGTAGGATTTGGTATAGTTATTTGTGAAAGATTTGGTATAGTTACTTGTGTAGGATTTGGAATAGTTGTTTATATAGGATTTGGTATAGTTGTTTGTGTAGGCTTTGGTATAGTTGCTTGTATAGGATTTGGTATAGTTACTTGTGAAGGATTTGGAATAGTTACTTGTGTAGGATTTGGTATAGTTATTTGTGAAAGATTTGGTATAGTTACTTGTGTAGGATTTGGAATAGTTGTTTGTGTAGGATTTGGTATAGTTGTTTGTGTAGGCTTTGGTATAGTTGCTTGTATAGGATTTGGTACAGTTACGTGTGAAGGATTTGGAATAGTTACTTGTGAAGGATTTGGTAAAATTTGATTAGTAGGATTAGAATTGACTGTTTAAAATAGTAGTTGCGTCTCTGTCTTCGTCATCAATTACAGTCTGTGCTTCATATGTTATAGGAGATTCTAAAAAATTTGGGAATGATAAAGTTTCGATTTGTTTTTTAACGTCAGCTTGCTCATATGTTATTTCCTGTTCTAATACCGAAACTTCTTCATAGTCATTAAATTCATTTATGTCAGCATGTTTTGGAAAAATAGGTTGAGGTTCTGGAAAGGGAGTCAATAAATGTTCATATTTATTAATTTTCCTTCTATCCATCACCCAATCTTGAAAGTACTCTGTGAGCTCTGGGAATGTGTCAAACTTTCTGTGCTCAACATGCCAAATATTGCGACCCCCTAAATTAAATAATTTAGGATGTTCATCAGGATGTAAAATACTAAAAGCATAGTGACTACTATTAACAAAATCGATAAATTCGAAAACGTCATCTGTCTCTAAAGGGACTATACTTTTACCAGCAACAAAAACTCGTGTCATGATAATATCTTATTATAAGTATATATAAATTTGTAAAAAAAATTAGGAAGAAATAAGGAGAATTGGAATAGGATAAACTGAATTTAATTAATATAAACATAGGTTACCTTATACCAAGATTCATGTGGAATAACTTGTAATAAAATTGGACTCGTAGAATAATTTTCAAAAATTGACTCGTTGGATCTGCTAATTATTCTCTGATTTGTTACTCGAAGCTCTGCTGGTTCACTTTGTTGTACATTCAATATATTAACCTACACATTTAAGGTGAGATTAGTAAAATCGTTTAAATGAGATTTTAAGAAATATAGTAATAATAAAAAAATAATCATGAACAGTGTGGTTAATTGGAAATAGTACCCAGTAAACCACAAAACGTAATTAAAATGTTAATATCACGTAACAGATGTTACGTCAAACATAGCGGTTACGTAACCTAGGAGGCACACAGACGTTTCTATTTCCGCCTCAAAAACGTAACGGCCTGTTACGTTACGCGAAAACGTAACGGTTTCGTTTTTGTTACGTTTCCAAATCACAAAATAAACGTGTAGGTGTCTTTGATGTTACTTAAAAATTTAATAAAATTTGCTGTAAATATAAAAACCATTTTTTATATTAATTTTATTTCATATTTTAATTAAGAATTTACAAAATTTACATAATATATACTTAAAATTACAAAATTACAGAATATAAATTTGAATTTTAAAAATTTGATTAAACTAATACAAAAATTAACAATGCTAACAAATTTCTACTTAACAGGATAGAATGAACTGTTTTATTTTAATTATAAAATTTTAATCATTAAAAATAAATTTTGTGTAAGGTTCTTGGCAACCTTTGTTCATCAAATTGAAACCATTTCACTGCTTTCTGTTTGTAAATATATCTAAAACAGAACCAAACAGGTTAGTAACAATTTCTACAAATTGTTTATTAATAATATTGATTTAAATTTTTTGTAACATTACC